GTTTGCAATGACGAGGCCCTCCAGGCCTAAAATATAAAATTTATTTATTTATCCATTACCACAAATCGCAAAAAGTTTAACTTTAGCAAGAGAACATAAGGAAAATGTAGAGGTAACATCAGCGATATGTGTGACCCAGTCGCAAACTGCCGCTACTGACAGAATGTTCATATATGTATCACATTTTAGACACGCTGGAGATGCTTCAAGTGAGGAGGTTATTAGAACACCAAAGTCCTGTTTGTCAACATTTGAAAGGTTTTGCCCATCGAGAAGGTATTTGAAGAAATCATACTCCTCCTTGGCCCTTCTAGTGCGGGGACTTAAAACCACACACTACGGCTGAAATTAAAGCACCAACAAGCAGAACAGTTGCTAAGTCGATTGAGACTCTTTGCAAGTGCTTGCCTATTGGCATCAGACCTGATGGCTCTCCAGTGTTTGACATCGTCAACAAACACGATTGAGCTGCAACCCAGGTCGTGCATACAATTATTGATATGGATTAGTAATCCCGTCCTTCAATTCGAAGAAATCCACTATGTTGCGTCTGGGATATTGACATCCGGTCCCTGATGCGCGATCCGACTATCTGAATGGAATCGTAATCCAAGAAGCAGAAATACAGTAAGATCCCGGCAGCTAGATGACAGACGACCTCACGCCTTCTAAACAATGTTGTAAGACGGCTAAAGCTGCAACTTCAATGTTGTACGCTATCAAGCGAGCATTGACCGCTCTTGCTGAAGACTGCTTCTTGAAAGCCTTTGGTACCTTCAGAGGCCATCTTGAATACACGATTCAAGCCTGGGGAACATGGATGTGGCAGGATTATAGTGTACTAGAAAAGGTGCAGCGGTTGGCCACAAAATTAGTAAGAGGCCAAGGTGCACTACCATATGAGATCCGCCTAAATAACCTTAATCTCTACCCTCTGAGTTATAGGCAGTTACGCGGAGACCTGATATGAACCTTGCATATCGTGCGTGGTTTAGCCTGTATTCTCGTGTGCGACGACTTTTTCCTACACGGCACTACAACTAGTGTCCGGGGCATCCGTTCAAGCTGCATATGTCCCAAGTACAATTGGATGTGAGGAAGTATTTTTTCTCAAAATGGATCGTTGAACCGTGGAATAACCTATCTGAGCCGATTTGTATGTCCCAATCTGTGGAAACATTCAAACACCGACTTAATATCATATGTTACAGCACAAAGTGAACTGTGTGAAAAATTAATCTTGAAACACCAATGCACAATTTGACTTCGTCTAAATTTACCTGCCTGAAAACGTTTTAACATTGTTTCTAATTCTTGAGATTTTAATGTTACAAATAGAGAGTTCAAATGCGCAAGCTCACTTTTTATTCAAATACACTGTTTGACTGACTGATAACAGTCGATACATAGTAGCCGAATATTGCAATACCACGGCTATAATACAGTTCCTTCGTTGTTCTTCCCGTTTTTATAATTTTGCCAAGCTGTAAACGTATTCTGAGGTCGGAATAAAAGTAGTCAACGGCATTTAACTAGATTCCAATACCTGGCATTCCAGCATAACTGTCTTCTGATCGTCTGAAGGTCTCGAAATCATAAATAGTTGGTCTTAGAGCCCCCTTGTTGCGGTGAGTTAATTCTTTCCTTCTGCTGATTTTGTGACATTTCTGAGACTTTCTCCTAGGTCCTCCTCATTTCCACTTTCGTTTTACCAGATTTACTATTTTATACCATCTTCTTCGTATTTTCTACTCAATTGACTCCATTTTTCCAGTCTTCTCACGATGTATGCCATGTGTACTTCCGGCTTTCAGTTTCACTTATTTTTGTACAGACGATCATATATGCATACATATATTAACGATAGTCGTTCATGACGGCCTTTTCCTTGCTTTTAATGGGAAATACACTCATTAATAAGGAAAAT